TTTTTTGATCATTCTGGACTATTCTAATCTCATACCGCTTTGTCGCTTGTAGCGATTATCCTATAGAAACTGCCTCTTTGCTGCAAAATCAACTTGATATTTTGTAGTTTTGGCTAGACAAATGGAGAATCAAGGGTAATTGAGAAAGGTCTTCATTTGTAACCTTTAATTTGCGAAGAGAGCAATGTCTTGCTGCTGGAAAAATCCTATTAACGAAAAACAGAAGCAACTAAAAATTAAAACAATACGAATGTACTCGTTGTTAGGTCGCAACTCTCAATCTAGAAAACAAAGTACCGCACTACGAAGTTATTCTTAAGCCTGTATGGATTCAGCTCTGGTGTACTGGTAGCAAGTCCAAGGAGAACCTCCAACGTTACCAAACGAAAACGTTGCGATCAATGGTCAATTCTCCCTGGTTTGTTACCAATACATCTATTCAAAAGGACCATTTCTAAAGGGTGATATTCCAAGTTACACCGCTAAATATCTTGCACGTCTATCTAACCACATACTCGTAAATCCAGCTCTATGTGTCTGTTAGAAACTATATGATTAAGTGCTGTCATATCCTAGAACTCACTAGAGGAATATTTATAAAAAAATAAATAAAATAAAAAATAAAAAAAATTGTAAACCTTAAGTGTAGGTTAGCAAGATAAATTTTAGCTAAAGAAAAGGTTGAAGATTTAAAAGTAAAATAAAAAAAAATAACATACTTCTTTATGTAATACTGCGCAAAGCGAATCTATTGTACCTCTGTCATTATATTGCATGAGTGCATAAGTTCGTGCCCGATTTCAAGTGCAAACTAAAATTGAAATTTTTTGAAGAAAGCGCTTTTATTAATCAATTATGTATTCGCCATCATGTTCGGCAATCCACTCCCAACGTTCAACCAATTTACGGATGCCTGATTCATAGAAATCGCGCGGTTTCTCGTTGAAAAAGGTGTCAAGGTGGTTTTTGACGTCTTCCACATTTTTAAATTTTTTTCCATTCAAATTGTTCTGCAGCGATCGAAACAAATGATAATCAGAAGGTGCAATGTCGGGTGAATATGGGGGATGCGGCATGATTTCCCAATTCATCTCCTTCAGTTTGGCCAGGGTCGGTTTTGCAACATGTGGCCTGGCGTTGTCATGATGGAAAAGAACTCCTTTGCGATTGGCCAAAATCGGACGTTTTTCATCAATTGCTTTCTTCAATTCGACCAATTGCTGACAATACTTGTTGGCAGTGATCGTTTCTCCAGCTGGCAAGAGCTCAAAATAGATCACGCCTCGGATATCCCACCAAATGCACAGCAGTACCTTCATCGGATGCAATCCACCTTTCGACATCGGTTCCGCCCCTTCGTGTGCCTGTTTCCATGTTCTTTTGCGTTGAACATTGTTGTACAGGATCCATTTTTCATCACCAGTCACGAGCCGATCCAAAAAAGGTTCGTTTTTGATCCGTCGAAGCAAAGAAATTGCTGTTGACATACGGTCCACTTTGTTTTTTTCACTCAACTGATGTGGCACCCATGTATCGAGCTTCAAAGTGTACCCAACCTTTTTTAAACGACGAAACGCAGTTGATTTGTTGACGTTCAATTCACTGGCAACCTCTTCCGTCGAAATACGTGAGTTATTCGCAACTAAAGTCCTTAGAACATCGTCATCAAGCTCAGAAGGCCGTCCACTGCGAGGTTGATCTTCGAGGTTAAAATCTCCAGAACGAAATTTCGCGAACCATTTCTTTACTGTGCGGAGTGCTGGAGCACGGTCCAAATAAACTTCGCGAATATCTTTAGTTGCAGCGCCTACTGTTTTTCCTTTGCGGAATTCGTATAACATAATATGACGCTTATGATATTTTTCGTTGTCCATCTTCCATGCGTCTTTTCACCAAGCAACTCAAATCAAAATGAAGTTATTTTATGCTTGATTTACAGTTCGGACTAACACATTTCCAACGATATATAACATGTTTATATTTCTTTCACGAGCGCCACTCTCAAACGATTCGAACGGCATCCAGCGGAATCGGGCACGAACTTATGCACTCATATCGAATATATATAAATCAAATATGCCGAATGTCTTATGTAAGGTAGATTGCAAATAAAATGAGTAAAAAAAATTAGAAAAAAATATGGTCAATGAAAATATATGTTCTTCATTACTCAATTCAATTTTTAGTTCCTGGTTTCTTCAACATTCTCGAAAAAAACAAGGTATTGTATTTTAATGTTATCAACTTTATTTCTCAGATCACTGAAATCGGCGGACAATATGAAGATTTTTGCATATTATTATTATTATTTTTTTTTTTAAATATTGATTATCTCTGTTTGTTGGGTATATTGTTGTAGATGTAAATATGTAAATAAGTAGCTGCTGTGAATACAATATGTGGCACGAATGTATTTATGTATGTATGTCTGTATGTTTTTGGTAGGTAACATATTTCAATTTTTCAGTTTTTATTACATAACTTTTTTGTTTTTTCTTTTTTTTAAAGGACAACGATAATGCATATTTATAAGCACATATGTAACGCTTACATACAGACGAATGAATATCTTCCACTTATGAAATATTTTTTGTTTAAACATATTTTTAGTGTTTTCATTTTTTTGTTTTGTATTAAATTCGAAATTTTGGGTATTTTCCTTTTCAAATATTCCTTTATGAATGTATTTCGAAATGCCACAAGTGGATTTTGTGCTTCAGATACAATAGTTTTGGAATTTTCATTAAAATATTAACTACTCGTTTTTTTTTTTTTGGAAATGTCTACTTAAAATTTAATGATTTTTTAATAATATTAACTTTAATTTAATTGTAAACTAAGTGAATAAGTCTTTCAAGAGAATACGCGAAAATAAACTAAATACGAGGTAATATTCTGTAAAACTAAATAATTTTTAATTATTAAAGATATACAAATGTTTTAATGTTTCATAAAGAATAATACTTTATAAATTAATTATTTAGTTATTAAAAATTAATACTTTTACATAAGGAGTAATTATTGAATTTATTTATTTAATTATTAAAAATTAAAACTTTTTTTAATTCACCAGGAAAAATATTTAATTTAAAAAAAAATTAAGTTTTAATTATTTAATTTAATTATTTAGTTAATAAAAATTAATACTTTTACATAAAGAGTAATTATTTAATTTTATTTATTTAGTTAATAAAAATTAATACTTTTACATAAAGAGTAATTATTTAATTTTATTTATTTAATTATTAAAAATTAAAACTTTTTTCAATTCATCAGGAAAAATATTTAATTTAAAACAAATTAATTCCTTTTTAAAAAATTATTTAATTTTTTAATATATAACTATCCAAACACTAATACTTTTTTAAATTGAAGATTAATAGTTATTTAATTATTAAATAATTAATTGTTTTTAAATTCGTTATTAATCAATTATTTAATTATTAAGAAATTAATTTTTTTTAATTATTGATGAATAATTATTTAATTATTAATTGATTAAATTTTTTTAACAATATAAATTATTTAATTTTTAAAAAACTAATACTTCTTTATTGTCACAAAGAAAAATTATTTTATTTTAATTATTTGAAAATTAATGTTTTTTTTTTTAAATTCGCCATAAATAATCATTTAATTATAAATTAATTAGCTATTAGGAAACTATTATTTTTTTGTTTGTTTATTTTGTTAATTCTAAATTAATAAATTTTTCAAAATAAAATATTTTTTAAACTCATAGTGAATAGCTTTTTAATTGTTAAATAATTAGTTTATGAAATTAATATTTTTCCAAATTCAGAATGGAGAAATAATAATTTATAAATTATTTAATTATTAAGATATTAATATTTTTTTAAATGCAATATTAATAATTAATAAAAAAAGAAATTTTTTGGAAGTTCATAATGAATAATTATTTAATCATTAATAAATTAAAATTTTTTAAATTAATAAATATTTAATTCCCGAACATAGAAGTATTTTTTAACTTATTCCTTCTTCAATTCAAAATGAACATTTATTTAATTATTAAAAATTACGTTTTCAAATTCCTAGAATATATTTTTAAATTCAAATTATTAAACAATTATATATTCAAAATTAATAATTAATTAATTATTAAAAAAAGAATATTTTTTTAAAATTCATAGTGAATAATTATTTAATTATTAATTTATTTGTTATTAATAAATCTTTATTTTTCGAAATTCAGCATGGACAATTATTTATTTATTGATAATTTAATTGTTAAGAAACTAATAACTTTAAATTAATAATTAATAATTTTTTAATTATAAGAAATTTTATTCCACTTTAGATTCAAAATTAATAATGATTTAATTATTAAAAAATTATCTTTTTTAATTCCTTACTTAATTAATACTTTTTCAAATTCAGAATGGAAAACAATATTTAATAGTAATCATTTAATGATTAAGAAATTATTATTATTATTATTATTTTATAAATTAAGAGTCAATAAATATTTAAATATTCAACATTTAATTGTTAAAAGACTAATTAATTCTTAAATTCTCTTTTTAATTCCTAAAATAATTAATATTATTTCAAATTCAGAATGGAAAGCTATTTAATTATTAATGAATTAAAATTTTTTTTTTGAAATTAAGGCTGAATAAATATTTAATTATTTAGCATTTCATTATTAAAAAACTAATATTATATAAATTAAAAATTGAATAAATATTTAATTATTAATTATTTAAAACTATTTTTTTAAATTCGTAAGATAATTAATATTTTTTAAAATTCAGAATGGAAAATTATTTAATTATTAATTATTTGACTTTTAAGGAATTCAATTTTTTTTTTATTCTTAAACACATATATTATGTCATAAATACGAGTATACTGATCGGCACAAAATAAATTAAGAGAGTAAAATTTAAACTTAATTTCATTAATCAAGAATACTTAATTTACATACAATAAATAATTAAACTAATTTTCAAATTTTCTAAGACATGAGTATCTATTTAAGATTTATTTTTTCTTTTTTTCATAAAAAAATCATAAAATATGATTTCTACATTCCTAACTAAAATTCAAGTTCAATATTCTTCTTCGCTTCTACCATCTACAGCCTAAAAGCGTACATATTTGGCCAAGAAAAGTGGCAGAAGTTGACCAAGCCATGCTGCCACATGATTGTCAGCGCTATTGCATCGATCGGCTTGACAATCTTGACAGAATATCCGCACCACATTATTCTCGGTGGGCTCTTCCATGCAGCGATCCAACGAATCGGATTTGTTTGTATAATAACAGAAACGTTTGGTGACCACTTTGCCGTTAACTAAAAGAGGAAAATAAAGTTTTAGTGATATTTGAGAGAAATCACTCATGTACATGTGTATGTATGTAATTTTGCTTACTCTCTTCAACGGTCTTACGACAAACGGGTCGCTCATGCTCGGAATGTGTGGTGCTGCTGCAATTGCGTAGTACATTGAAATTGTGCTCCTTCATCATCTCTGAGCTGGGTACGCTGTCCTCGTCAAAAGTTACGCCGCAGAAATCTTCAGCGCCGCTGGTCTCCGAACTACAATGCCAACATTCCAATTGTCTTGGCAAATCGGCTGTAAGTGTGAAGGAAGGTAAGAAAGAAAGATAAGTAATGAGTTTAGTCAAAATTTGCTCAACATTTTTTATTGTTATTAAAGTAATGAAATAAAAACAGTATAATCGCGCTAACGTAGTCCTCAACAAGACCGAGTTTGAAGGCATGCGACACGAGCAGCTTCACTAAAAGCCTGGAGTCTGAGTCTGAGTCGCCAGTAGCAGTATTGTAAGTTTCGCTTCGCTTCGCTTACCATAAAAGTTTCACTATTTTGCTGCAGCTGGTCCATTGCCAGAGCTTGTTAGCCTGCCAAACCGATACCGATTGCCTCAAACTCTTCAGTGCCTTCAAAGCAGTGGAGCATGGAGGAACACGTAGGGTCTTGGAACTCTTCTAATGTAAGATTTAACGCTAAATTATTGTGGACAAACCAAACTATTACTTGGTGTTTGGATGTTTGTACTCCTGCGATATCAGACGAAACGCTGCGGCACTACCATTGCGATTGTCCTGCCTTCAGCCGCTTGAGATGTCACATCTTTCCAAATGCTTCCAGCTTCAATCTCACGGATATGGGTACGCATCGTGGGATGAAATTAAAACAATTTATAAAAGATTCTCGTTTACAATTTTACAGCGCTGCTGATGCCTTTGTCATTGAGCTCGTTCGCATTGAGCCTCCATCCCGACTTACTGTCCAACACAGCCACCGTACAAGAATATCGTTCTAACCACTGATAATAATATCCCCCGACATATGCTAGTACTTAATCCCCATTCCTTACATAAGGCCCATCTTCAGAGGAACTGAGAGATGGAAGCCTTTACCTGGACTAAGATCTCATGTTCAGCCAGTCTATTATAATATAGAAATATGACTTAGACGGACTCCATTGCTTTATTAAGTTTCGGAATTTTATATTTATTTGACATAAAGACAAGATAAATAAGAAATCCGTGTTAACGCCGAGTCCACATTGTGTGTCATGCCATTTTGAGATGTTCGCCTGTTGACACATCTGCAAGCCTGCAATCCTTCTGAGCCCACACTTGCATACTTACTGATTGACATAACGGTAATTGATATTAAAGCATACATGTCCTCACTCTGGCAATTACTTAGAAGGCGGCACGACCGCAATGTGGGAAATTTGTTGTCGGATTTGTGCCCATCGCCGAGCCTTGACATTCACTTCGGTTGAATGCGAGGGTGGGCAAAGGAGATATTGTCGGAAAAATTAGCCTCCTCGGTGAAACATACCTCAATGGGTTGAGGTTGAGCGACCTTGTGAAATATGTCATGAAATATGGTTGCCTGTTGTACCGAAATCCAGCAATAGAAAATTCATTAAGCTATTTGGCTGTCTAAGAGGAAAAACTCACAATCAAATAGATCATGTGGTGATAGAGGGACGACATATTTAAGTGTACTCTCCAAAGACCTAACACCGCCTCTGACCACTTTTTTCGTGCACCAAAGACTTACACCCACCTCTGTCCTCATATAAAGCTGCAAACGAAACTATTGGATTTCGGAAAGGCCAAAAAACGGCTGGTACGATGAGAAATACCGTGCCGCAGAGAAGAAAAACAGCTTACAAAAGTTATCAAGACCGGAGTAAACTCTTGTTGTCTTGAACCCAGAAAGGTGATATAGCGACGGTTGCCCAGAGTATGCTAAATTTACAGATGTAACACATCTTCAACCAGCTGAATGGTAGTGTAATTGGAACATTGATTTATCATTCATTGTCCGACAATGACGAAGTTGGAATTTTTTTTTATTTGACCGCTGAAGCGATTTTTGGTCAAGCTTCTGCTCCTAGTTTTGGTTTTGCGTTTTGATGTTTTTTTCAACAAATGGAGGGACTTACAGTTTTCACCAAGACTCCTCCGAACGGTGATGGTTTTTTTTTGAGAAATTTTTATTTCATCTCATAAATAGGTTGACATTCCCTGCCGAGGGGCGACCGCAATTAGAAAATTTAGCTGATTTTATATATTTAAATTAATTTTCCATAACTTTCTGGATGTTAGTACGACACCAGAACCCGAGCCTTTCGAATGGCAGTGCTAGCAACTCGGTCGGGTAAAAGTTGGAATAGCAATTGGAAATTAGCAAAGCGGATGGGGCCGATGGATTGCCAGCTGAAGTATTCAAATTGCGATGGCGAGTAACTGATAAGCAGCCCGCACTAGCTTTCTTGCACAACATGGTCAGATGAAAGTTTAGCCAACGTTTGCAATCTAGGCATGCTCTGCCCAAAACACAGAAAGTGGAGGATTCCACAGTATTGGCCGATTATATGAGGAGAAGCCTTCTCAATACCGCAAAAGGCTCCTATCAAGGGGAATGTGTGTAAGACTAAATCCCACTGTCTTATCTTGTCAGGCCGCAGCTTTAGGGCTTAAAGAGAAAATAAACTTTTAATGAATTCGCTTGGCTCATTAACTGGGATTTCTATAATTAAATGCACAGCTCCAATATAAAAATCCCTCTTAATTGATTCCCCTTTTAATTGAAGCAAAATTAATGAACATTTTTTTGTAATAAAATTAAGCGGGAATTTTCGTTACATGTATTTACGAGGTATACATTCCTGTATGGTGGACACATAAAAATAACAAAAACAACTTCACATGTCAATAGGATAGTGAGCACAAGCTATTGGACAGTCGCAGACAGAAATCTAGGTTAAAGTCAATGTGAATACAGAGCTGACATAGATTTTGTACATAAACATATATATATATATATATATATATGTATGTATATACGGAGATGTGTACCACATACCAATAGAGTACATACATAGAATTCTACGATTACATATTGTATATGGAAAATTCTTATGTTGTAGGAAGAAAGACAAGAAGAACGTAAATTGCGCTTGTTGACATCATCAGCGACAAATAATAAAATATGGATGTAGTGGGATGAACGGGAAAAATGTGCGTAAGTAAATACAGAAGAATTTGAGTACATTTAATACTACTGTTATTCCATGTTGAAGTGTGTGTGTGTGTGTGTGTGTGTGTGTGTGTGTGTAAGTTTCTTTTTCCATTGCTGTCATGTGAATTAATGGCACATTCCGGCATGAAATTCTAGTCGGTTAGATGCCCACAATGAGATTTATTTTATTAGCAAAAAAATGTCTATGAAAGTATGTGTGTGTGTGTTCGTGTGTGCAAGAAATCACGACTAATTGACATTAACGTAAGCGAAAGCCTTTTCTCCTTCTTTTGTCCTTTGCTTTTGTATGGTTGAACTGACATTTGTGTGAGTGCAAAGTGCAAATGCAACATGTGAGTTGAGCCGAAGTGTGGCGGGTGGGTAGGTGTTGGCCTTTATCTTCATAGCTGATAAAATCTTTATAAAATGAATTGAAAATTATGGTTTTGCGCCATGACATTGTTGGCAATGATGCATTTTATGGCATAACAACAACTCTCACTATTGTCCTCCTACACATACATACATACAAACCTACATCATGCTTTCTTGTCTGCTTTCATATCCTTTGAATTTCAATTTCAACTACGGAAATGTCACCGCTTGGCGCCAATTTCGCATAACTACGCGAGTAACACAATTTCAAAGGACGCCAGACACAAGTGGCGCCGTGATGGCGACTTTCTAATTTTTAACGCTTTTCATGTGGATGCTTTTTTGTTGTTATCATGGTTTGTTTGTAGGTTGGATGTTTTTGCTGTTGGTCGAGCACAATTGATTATACTTATGTATATACATCTAGTGTACTCCAGATACATAATACTCATATACATACGTGTATGTACATTCTCAACATAACATACTATGCAAATATCGATGTATGGATATAGGTATGTACGAGGGGATTAACAAAAGTTCGTTCAGTTAGTGACTTTGAGCTTGTTTTTGTTAAATCTATCTACCAAATTCTTTGTTGTTACTTTGTTAGTCTTCCTTTCAAATTTTAGAACGATCGGTTCAAATGGAGACGATTGCACCGTCTTCAAAGACTATTTCTGAGTAGTTCCAAAGATTCCAGACCAGGCATTTCTCCGCAGAAGGCGAGCACCGAGAATGTCTACCAAAATCTTTCGCTGAGGATGTTACTGTAGCTCTGGTAAAGTCCAAAATTTTGAGAATTGGCCTTGAATGCCATGGCTGCAAAGCGAATATTAAGTGATCATCTGGGATACACGAAGAAGTCTGTTCTCTACGTACCACGAATTTTTAGTGAGACCATTTTGGTCAATTTTTCCTAAGGAAATACGAAAATGGTCAGTCTAGAAACTTTAGTAAAGCCGTTACTGGTGACCAATCTTGGCTCTATAAGAACAATCCAGAAACCTAACAGCCGTCCATAGCATGAAGCCCAAAAGGAGCAAACCCACCTGTAAAATCTGAGCAACAGAAATCAGCAGGAAAGGTAATGAAGTCAATTTACTCAACCCGATCTAAGTTACTATTCCACTGGGAAAGAGTATGAAGACAGAGAGTATGAAGAATATGAAAAACTTGAGAATTTGTGCGTTAAGATTAAGCCTAGAAAATACCATGAGAAAAAGAAGCGACATACAAAAGGTCTCACTAGCGCAGCACACTCTTGTAAGACTCATAAAGGTAATCTAGTTATCAATGCTTGGAATTTACTGAGTTTATAGTGGCAGCCGGCTGACTTATAATGAAATTCATACAACTGCGAGGGGTGTTCGAATAACAATAGCCTGACTGAAGAACAGCAAAGATGGCTTATCGCCTGAGCAATTCGGAAAAAACTGACAAGGTACATGATGCCTTGTAATCTAAGCTTGCTCTGCTCAAGCCACAAACAGGGGATCTCCATAATCGGCGCAAATTTTCGTTAGATAAACCACGCCAATATCGAACACGAGATCCAATCTAGCATGAGAAGGATTAATGCTCGCCGTCAGCGCGTTTATTGTACCTTAGAAGTATTGCTTAAAAGCTTGTATATCTACGGTTGGTCAGATAGGCGCTTAGTCTTGAAAAATATCGCCGAAAAAAGCAAC